CGGGCAGCGGCACCGCCCCGACACGTGTGCTGCGAGCCGGCCGGACACACCGCCCTGTCCACCTGCTGTCGTCCCGTGCTGTCCCCCAGTGTCATCCCGTGCTGTCCCCTTAGTGTCACCCTATGCTGTCCCATCCCGAGTCTTCTCACACAGTTTGACTGTGAGGCCTTCAGAGGGCCCTCGACAGGCTGGAGAGATGTTCAGAGGAGAGTTTTCTGAAATTCAACACAGGTAAATGCAGGTTCCTGCGCCTGGGGAAGAACAACTTTGGGTACCAGCACAGGCGGGGGCCCAACCTGCTGGAAAGCAGCTCTGTGGAGAAGGACCTGGGAGTCCTGGTGGACAACAAGCTGTCCATGAGCCAGCAGTGGCCTGGTGGCCAGGAAGGCCAATGGAACCTGGGGTACCTTAGGAAGAGCACTGCAGAAGGTCAAGGGAGGTGATCCTGCCCTGCTACTCAGCTCTAGTGAGGTCTCACCTGGAGGCTCTGCTCAGTTCTGGTCTCTGGAGCACAACAGAGACCTGGAGCTCCTGGAGTGGGCCCAGCAGGGAACTGCAAAGGTGATACAGCACTGGAACATCTCTTGTGAGGAAAGGCTGAGAGAATCAAACCTGTTCAGCCTGGAGAGGAGACAGCTGAGAGGGGACCTCATCAGTGTCTGTCAGTGCCTGCAGGGAGGGGTCAGAGGAGGGACCAGGCTCTGCTCAGTGGTGTGAGGCAGCAGGACATGAGACAACAAGCAGAAACTGATGTACAGGGAATTCCACCTGAACATGAGAAAAAACATGAGAAAAAACCTTTTTACTGTGTGTGTGGAAGAGATTTCTCTCTGCCTCCTTCACTGAAGATATTCAAGAATATCTTGACTGTACACAGCTTGGATGCAATCCTCTGCAGTGTGCTCTGGGATGATGCTGCTTGAGCAGGGATTTTGGACCAGATGGCCCACTGTGGTGCCTTCCAACCTGACCCAGTATGGCATTCTGTGAATTGTGTTATGTTAAATATGTAAATCTGGGTGGAGGAGAAAGTGACAGATATGGTGAGAGGGATAACTGATGACCCATTTATTCCCTTATTTTGGCTTTGTTTTGTCAGCAAAGAGGTGTAGCACAACCTCCTACAAGGATGGGAGAAGTGGGAAGCTGTATTTCCTTCCTCCATTACCTGCTCTCAGGCAAGCCCCAGGCAGCCATGCACTTAGTCCCCCACCAGTGGGACTGGGAGAAGAAGGGAAGGGTAAAAGCTGGAAAACCCTTGGGCTGAGATAGAGAGTTTGATAGGAAAAGCAAAAGCCACACGTGCAAGCAAAGCAAAAGGAATTAATTCACCATGTCTCATGGTCAGGCAGGAGTTCAGCAATCTCCATGGTGACTTGGGAAGACAAACACCATCACTCCAAATGTCTTTACTCAGTACTTCACGCTGACAAGACCATGTCAAGGTGTCACATTGTCTGGAATATCCCTTTGGTCAGTTGGGGTCACATATCCCAGCTGTGTCTCCTCCCATGCACTCAGAAAAGGCCTTGGCTCTGACTAAGCTCTGCTGAGCAACAACAAAATCATCTTTTTTTATCTGTGTTCAGTACAAACCCAAATCCTCATACCAGCTACTGTGGAGAAAATTAGCTCTGCCCGAACCAAAACCAGCACATCCTTGTAATACTGAAGAATCAAGGATCAAAGTGGCATTTCCTGGAATGGAAATTGGAACACAGTTTAACCAGGCACAGTTGCCAGTGAGAGGTATTTCACAGTGCCTTTGATGACCCTGCCTGCTCCTAAGGTAGAAGGTTGGCCACAGGTAGCCTGTGGGGGGGAGCCCCAGTTTTGCAGAACTGCCCAGTGTTGGTGCAAAGGGTCAGAGATTTGTACCCTCTAGTAACCAGGGCAATGCTTACACATCTTAGGCCTCCCCCAATCCCCAGCCTTTCTTGATCAAACTTTACCTTTGCTAAACAAATCCCTGAATTTCAATGACAAATATAATTTAAATCAACATAAAGAGCCATAAAGAAACATAAAAGTTGTGACCTGGAATGTGAGCCATTTGTGTTACCTGGTTCAACTGATCAGTGCATTGAAATTGGTTAAATATCTACATGGAGTTTTCCTTGTCCTACAGAGAGTCTTGGATGCCTGGATTTTCCTTTTTCTTTCTCTACATTATATAGTAGAAGTGTTGCATATCATGGAGAAATACCAAATTTGTGAATTTTATTCACGAACCTTTATTGAACTGAAATGCGAACACCATTGCAAAGAGATTTTACAATGACAAAAGATAATTCATCAGAAAGCTACAGACGTCATAACAATATTGATCTTGCAAGTGAAAACACTAACAGATTCTATTAAAGCCAGCATTTTCAATATTAAGAACTTAAAAAATGTATTTGAAAGCATTTTCCTTTAGATACATTTAGAAACAATGAAGAATTCCTGAGCAACTACTTTTATACCAGTATTCTCCAACCAAAGTACATACTACATATGAAATCTAATTCTTAAAATTTCTTCTATTTTAGAAATTTGCAAAATAATTTGGATCTGGTTCACAGAATAATTGTGCTTAAAGTAATTCTGTTGCTACAGTAATGATGCTGTGATAACCTCTCATGTTCCACATTGCATACAAATTCTGAAACTGTACTGGAAAAAATGCCTAGCTTGTATTACAAATCTACCAATGAAATGCTTTATGCAAATGGAAATAAGTTTGCTCTAAATATTGGGTTATCTCTTTCCCTGCTGAAAATATACTGTTTATTCTGGATATTATTCGGAAGGTGTCAGTTTTGTTTCTTTGAGAGACTGCTGGCACAATTAAAGGCAAAGGAGTTCCAGAGACTTTCATCCTCACTTAACAGTATATCAGAATTTTGAACAAATACAATTAGTTAATGACTGCCAACATGTTTTTTTTCTGGGCTGTACTTTTTTGTAACAGTGCCTTCAGTATTGCTATATCTTACACAATGACTAAAACATACACAAAACACAACAAAAATATTTCAGAAGCCAAGATAATGCTGAATATCTCTGAGCAATATAACACATATATAAGAACTGATGGTTGTATTATATCTGATAAACCATTTTTATAGTCAGGATAAAAAAAATTTACTTTCCAAAATGAAAAATAAACAACACTAAAGCAGCCCAGGAGCTCTTTCTGAGTACAGCTGAGCAGTAGTTTCATCTCCCTTTTGGAATGAAAGACAAAGGGATGAGAATTAAAAGTAGTCTACAGCATCATGAATATTAAAAAATATGATACGACGTCATTATAGTTCTGCCTGTAGAAAAATCTGCCTTTTTCTAAACATGTATAATTTTCCATTCTACTGAAGGGATTTTTTTCTACAAGTGACTTGTACAGTGATTTCCAGCATCCTCTAAAAATTCTACTCAGTGCTACAAGTCTCTAAAACTAACCATTGCAGGAACTGAAATGAAATCTTTCAATGTTTATTGATGTCAAAATGAGGTGAAGGTACTCAGAAGCTCACAAAAATAGATCCAAAAGCAGCATTGTTAAAAAAAAAATAGTTAAATAATGTCAAGATCCAAGACAAGCAGCATCACCAAGTAGAAAAGGACAATAAACCTTCCAAAAAGAGAAATATATAAAAAAAGACTTTTTTATATCTAACTGCTCTATGCACCAATATCTTGAGTATAAGATCAGCTTTTAGCATATCAGCACTCTGAGAGGACACACAACTAATTCAGGTATTTTTTCTTAACTACTCCCAAGAGATACAATAGAGCCTTTTAAAAATGTAACATACTGAAGAGATGTATCTTAAACCCCACTTGGTAATTTTCAGAATTTATTACCAAGGTAGTGACTTCCCAGCTAAGGAAAGTATTAAAAGATACATTGTCACAGGTACAAAGTGAAACAATGCCCAGAAATGCCAAGAGACTGCTTAGTAATATCCCCAAAGTATTTTTTCTCTTGGAGCTTCTAGGTCATTGCCTTATATATACTAAATAAAAACAAAACAATACTTAAGAATGGTAGACATATGTGTGGGACAATGTAAATGGACAAATAAATCTCCCCTGTATATCTGTGTGAAAAATGGAAGGTTGTTTATAAAAGCAGTGCAGTACACTTTATTTCTCTTGATTTTTTCCCTTAGGAATGTAGGAAACACAGTGTCAGATCAGATGCTGAGACTGACTCTTCAAGGTTTGTTTTTGCCTGGGACCAATGTCAGATATGGGGAAGAAAAATCCCATAACTGGTAGAAAACAAATGACCACTTCTCATGTATAGGGCTTTTCCTGCTCATATATAACAGCTGATCCATAGTAGCTGATTTCAGCATTCTGCCAACTCTTCAGCACTGCATAAGGCTTTACTGATTTTGTGGACTATATCAGGTAGCTGCCCACATTCCCACTTTAGATATAAAAGTATTTCCTTCTCTTCCTTTATTTCCCCTCACTAACTCATTTATCCCTCCTCTCAGTTCTGCTAGTTCTTATTTTTTACTGTCTATTCTCACATTTGATTCTTTCCCTTCCATTTTCTCTTCTTCCCCCGTTCTTCTCAGCTGTAGTCAAAAGGCATTTTTTCCCTCATCATCTACCATGTACTTCCCACAGTGACTGTACTCCTTTTCCTCTCTGTCACATGCAGCAACCTTTTTGCTCTTCCTGTCACTTAGTGGAGGACTTGGCAGGACTGGGTTAACATTTGGACTTTATGACCTTACAGCTGTTTTCCAACCTAAACTGTTCTATGCTTCTATCATATTTAAGTTCTTTATATCCCCATGTATTATGTGTTTAGGCATCCATTTATCTTTATTTTTCTGCTTGACATATACAAAAAAACCCCGAAGAAAATCCCTGATTTATTTCAAAATAGTTTTCAAGGCTGGGCCACAAGGTTATTCAAACTGTTATAATTCAGTCTGTCTTTCCACACCCACAGGAGCTGGAGCCTGTTTTTAGTGTGACAGTTTGATCTAGTTGAGAGCAGGGCTTTCCATTTTTACTCAGAGACAGACTTGAAAGGCTTGCTTCCTTGGAACTCAGTTGAAAACAGGTAATTGTAAATAGCAAATATTGATAAACACTAAGTTCCATAGAGGAGATCCAGAATGAGAGCACCTCTGGAAAATTGGCTCAATCAGTCCTAGTGACCTGGGAATACAAATAGTGCCATAAAACTTTTCAGGCCCGGAAAGGGACTGATGCTTGACTGCTAATCTGGGCAGCAAGGATATTCTTAAAAAATGGAATTTCCTTTACCTTTCTTTTTTCCATTTAATTAAATTAATTTATTAATTAATCAAATAAATTAATTAAAGCATTTAATTTTGCTACACATCTCAAATATTCCATCCTCCTACTGCCACTACAACAGAAGTGATGATTCCATGACAAGCTGTTTCTTAACAAAATAATTTGAACTTACAAATGAGATTTTTAAATTCTTGACAGAATGAGTCACAAATTTATACACACAAAAAAAGCAAAATGCTTTTTCCTGCTTGCCTTTTAAAGGGACAAAAAAATAAAACCTGAGGTAGCAATTATTTGAGAATGTGATGCCTGATCTCATGACACTTTTTTTACTTCATTTGTCTTTATGGCTTTGCAGAAGATGTCTGATGTCTATCAACAGGCTTACGCAACTTCAGTTTCCTTGCACAACGCCTTCAGATCATTTAGTTACCATGAAATTACGATATACACTTACAGGCTTCATGATGTAAGCCCCACATATACAATGCTTCAGAGAGCACAAAAAGTTCTGCTTATTCATTTTAAACACCTGCTGCTACTACACTTGGGATACTTGAATGACATTTAAAGCAGCTGTCTATTTTTCAGCCATTTAAACATAGACACACAGATAGATATACTACAAAATTCACTGGTTTGACATAAATCATCATTACATATTTGTTTTACAGTTTGCTCCATAAACACACATATCCTCTTACTAATATTATATCAGGTTAATTCACTGCATTTTTATTAACTAATCTTTGTAGTTACATAGTATCATCAAGACCAAACTTAAAGTCTTAATCATATGTGATACTGAGCTTTGTGAGCGTGTGCCAATTCATTAGTTTGTATTTCTTCTAAAGTCTGAAATATTACACAGAAATACTAAAATTGTACATCAAATATATCTCTGCTGAAAACAAATCTAGTAAAAAAAAAATATGGTAATGAATCATATTTGCCAATACTGAAGAAAGCATGTTAAAATTAGTCTGAGTCAGAAGTAAAGGTAATTAAATAAAATGTATATGTTAAATTTCAGGAGTTTTGTAAAACTATTTCTGTAGAAGAGTCTTTATGCTACTTTTTAGACCTTTTATGCTATCACAAAGTAGATCACACTCTAAATGACACGTAGATAACTTTGATGTTGAAAACATCATTCAAAGTCTTGAAACTATTATTCCAAGTGAGAAATTTGACTAATGGTGCAAGAGCTAGAGGGTTGATCCCTGTTCCTGGGGTAAATTCTGTTCCTCCCTCTGGATATCAAAGGAGGTGTCAAGAGCCTGTTTTTCCCCACTGTTGTGTCATAATTTTTTACACTGATTGACTCTATCGAAGTGCTGCAAAAACTCAAGTACTTGCTAATGAAAAGCATAAAGACCTGCAAGCAAAAATACTGTCGCAATCATAAAAAATTAAGTATTTAAACATTCAAATGGCCAAACACTTAGCTGAAGGTTATTTTGATTTTACAGAACACTTGTTTTTTATTTTTTTAATGTACTTTCAGATGTTTAAGGTCACTTTCAGAAGCTCTGGTACTGGGAGCAACAGGGTGTTTTGAAAAATATAGGCAAATCCAAGGGAAAATTAATCTATCTGCACATTAGTTCAGTTCCAAGAATTAAATATATTTATGACAATACATTCAAATTACATTTAACTAGCAAATCCCCCAAAACTTCAAAGCAGCAAGAAAATGCCCCTTTTCCACTGTGGGTGACTTTCCCTTTCCATGGAGAGCCATGATGATTTGGCATATTGAAACATTCATCAGCAAAGGTGGGAGATGCTCAACACCACACATAGTAATTTAAGCTACAACTAGTTTACAGTTTCAGCATTCATTTATGACAAAGCAGAGAAACTTTCTGTGTGGATTACTGGAGGCACACATGCTACAGTTAGGCAGGATGAATCATATAAAATCTGCTAACTGTTGTGTCTGTGTGCTTCAGGTGAAAAGTAACTTCAGGTAAAAAGATGCAGTGGGAACAGCCTGTTACTGTCGTACATCTGGGTAGTCACCTGTGTTCTAACCTAAGAAATCTACTCTATAAGGAACATCTTTAGGCTCTAGGCTTGATAAGGTACTGTAGCTTCTGTGCATCACCAGATACATCCCAGAAGGCCTGTAGCAGCGCATCTTTTTGCACATCATCTGGTGTAGGAAACTACACAGATAGAGCTATCTGTGTAAAGAAAGAAGAGTGTGTCTGATGGTGTTAGCTCTGTCAGATTCAGTCAGAAAACTGAAGGGTAAATAAAACACTGTCAGACACAGTGTGTTATCAGCTTACACACTTCCACATGCATAAGTTTCCTCATAACTCAAGAGTTTATTTGCAGTACTAGCATCTTTAGAAATTTGTAAGGTATACTACATACAGAGTATCTATGGTAAAATTATTCTGTTAACCATAGCTGAACACAGTTTTATGTCTGGCTGATACCTGGAGTAGCCCCTTTGTGTCTTCATGTGTTAAGTAAGTGGCTGAATAAGGAATCTAGGATACCTTCCCACACCTTCAGCAGAGCATCCAGACTGCTCAGATCAGCCCCTGAAAGTGGGCAGTTGCCTGTATAGAGTACAGGCTCTAAATCTGATGCCACCCTAATGTCTACATTACCATGTATGTTTATAGACACACAGATAATTAGCTAAGTTCTGCAGTCCTGCCTATGCAAAGGCTAGGCAGTTCTCCTAATCTGTGCTTGAGCAGTTCCATGGCTTGGAAGGTAAAGGGTAAGAATCTGATTTGCCAGATTAGTTGTGGCCTTATGGTACCTTCAGAATCTGAAATTCTCTTTTGTCTGGCTCTGCAGCAGGCACCTTGTACCACAGGAAGGCTTGCTCAGTGCATAAAATCATAAAAATGTGGGGAAAAGTAAAGCTGTTCAGGAAGGGGACTAACAAAAGGGAGCCCATCTATCACATACACTCTCCTTCGCAGGTACAGGATCATTCCCTCACCTTAAATTTCCAGTTTCCCCTGAAGCTAGAGGTACTGGCTAAATACTTTGCCCACTTTTAATCAGTCATCACGCAGTCATACTTTTCTGGAGTAAATGAAACTTTTGTTTCAAGAAGGAAGGACCACAACAACTTTGCAGCCACTACAATATCATTTTGATTCTGTCTTCAGTTACATGGGATATAGTGGATCCTTACTGTTCCCACTGCTGTTCTGGGGACACATGATCAGCCCAAGTACATGGACTTGCCTCCTCATTCCCACTGCTTTTTCAGTGGAGGTCTGAATCAGACCTTGGAGGCTGGGTTTCAAAACTGATGTTAATAAATTCAATATGAAAAATCCGACTTTCCTTTCAGGCTCAGAGAAAAGTGCAGGAGAACCCCATTTCATTTATAATTGGCATCAGAGTACAAATTCAAAGGGACAGAACCTTAGCTCTTGAAACCTAAATTCTATTTTAATTATATAATTACAGGTAATGAAAAAACCTGTGAAACAAATAACTTACAATTCAAATAGTAATATATCTGTAATATATTAGAAATATAGTTTAAAAAGTCTCCATATTCTTAATTAGTATAAAGTTTAATTTTATGCTTTGTATAGAAATTATAGCTTCACTTTTTACTGCCTCAGCAGAAGGAAAGAGAAAAGTTCCTAGGTAGCTAAATAGCACTGGGAAATTAAAAAATATTTTATTTTGCTCTTTTTTTTGGTAATAGAAAAATAGCCTTCAAAAATAGATTGTTAAACATATGGGCTTATATTAAAGTAAAATTGTATATTATATACAGTAAGGCAGTATATCATATATTATCCTGCTTTCTTTTTCATTTTGGTTTGTCTGGACTAAGATATGAATGGGATGCAGTTTTCTGTCACATTGAAACAAAGCAAAAATATATTTAGAAGAATTTGTTATTTTACTGCAATTTGTAGAATATGTTCTCTTTTATATATGATTTGTAATGTACAAGAGCTCCTTTTTCTCAAGGATTGAGAAAAAAGATAAAGAAAACTTAATCTAGTGCTAGAATGCATTCAGAAGAAAACACATTGTAGGTAAGAATACATTGTGCAATGGTTTATCTAATGCAGGAACTGCTCAGATTGCTATGGTTTGCTGACTAATCCACAACAATTTTCATCTTTGTTGAATCTGTGGTACCTCCTCAGGCTTCATCCACCAACAGAAGTTTTGCAGAACTGAATAGTTATTTTACAGTGCATTTTTCATGACAGACAAGATCCATTTCCTCATTTCACCCTGTCAGAAATGTGTGCTAATGATGCAGGACTGACATCCATGACTATAACCTCAACTCACAGATTATTTTATTACCTGTACAATGCACACAGGTGGTTAGGCTTTTGAAGACTAGGCTTTTTAAAGGAGCTGTTTGCTATGTGAGTTTCTTTTGCTGTGTGTAACCACTAAGTATGTGCTGTACTAATAGGTTATTTAAAGGAGGGCATAAAGGAAGATGGGTCCATGTAGTCTGATCCACTGGTGTCTCTTGTGGAATCACTTGGAGCTGTCGTGCTGTAGCTCGTATTCTTCTCAGCTTGACTTTGCTGAGGGTTCTCAGATGTTTCTGCTACAGGTTCTTGAGACACAGGTGTGTTTTGGGTGCGCTGATCTGGCAATAATACTAAAATGTGATGGTCCATAACTGTTGAGACCTTGGTATATTCTTTGCTGGTTCCTGGAACAGTGCATTTTTTGGTCTTTCCACTATTTTCTTTATGTTTCAGTAATAGTGTCGGTTCCTCATCTTGTCTGACTCTATGAACTTCTACATAGTCCATTAGTTTAGGATTCAGGAAAGGCGACTTGTCATTTTGTTGGTTTTGTCTGACCTGCACTGTGGTTTGGTCAGTTTTGGAATATTCCATCTCATTTATCTTTTCCATGCCATCATACGCAGTTTCAGCAATGGGATACAGCGACTGACGATTTTCTTCATTTCCCACCAAAACTGGTGAAGTGTTCACATTTGTGGTGTTCAGTGTTATCCTGAATGCCTCCACAGTGCTGTGGTAGGCAAACATAGCAGCCTGATTACTGGGTAACTGAGCTGCCAGCCACGTGCACGACTTTTTACTCTCACTGTTACAAGGGAGCGTTTTCTGTTCTGAGGCCGTACACTGAGTTTCCCAGCTCCCTTTTCCTCCTTTTTTTTCTTTAGCTCTTACATCTTGTGTTTGAAGAGCAGATGGAAGGCTGTGGGATTCCCTGCACTTCACAGGGAGGAGAGAAGGGCTATCACAGCTCCCTCGGCCTGAGTCACTGTCTGTTTCCTTGAGTATAATTTTTGTATTTTTACAATGAGTGTCATGACTTGGCATGAGCTGCTGATCCTCACTGTCCTCCACCTCCAGATATTCTATCAGTAGTTCCTCGCAGTCTGATGTTGGAGGGAAACCATGGCAACCAAGAGCACTCAGTAATTCTTCAGATTTTCCTGTCTGAAGGTATAATGAAAAGGATATATAATTTTTCATTGTCAGCCTTTGGGATTACCTGTCTAGAACAATTGTGAACAATCTACATATTTAATATACAAATACTTTGATAGTTGTATTGCTAGACCTGAACCTGATTGTTGCAGAAACTATCGAAAAAAGGAAAGAAAAATTCCTGAGTTTCCTCAGTGGGGAGACAATCCTAAAATTCACGTTTCTAATTTGGGAGGAGCAGGGAGCTTTTGGCAGGTACGGCTCTCCTGAGTTTAATAAGAAGGAAATGGAGGAGAATTGCAGTGCAGACATATCCTGCCTCTTCAGCATGGCAAAAGATTGTGGAGAGCATCTTCTGTAAGAACTACTAGGAAGGTCACAGAAGCATTTCTTTATGTCCCAGAAAACACAGCAGTCACAAACCCTCTTCTTAAACACCCTTCTGTTCCAAGTGCAAGGCAAAACTCTGACTCACACATTCCTCCACGTATTTAACCAGAAAGTGTTGCTCATTTCCAACATTGATTACTTGAAGCAGTTTTACACTTTATTGTGGTAATTGTCCTTGCCAATACACAAGTTGGAAAAAACATGGGTTTTTGTGAATTCTTTTGTTGTTACCTGTGGTACTCACCTCTAGCAGATGTGTATCTATGCCTTTTATCTTTGGTCCTGGAACTGGTGGCAGGATAAAGGCCATCATTCTAAAAAAAGCCCGGAATAAACATACCAGATGTAAATACAGGCTCTATCTCACTATTTGTTCTCTCATTTCCTCAGAATGTGACTAAGCTTTGAAACACCTCTCCCATATCTTATTCATCCCAGTTGGACCTCTGTCTCTTGTCTGCCTCTCAAGCTAGGTAATTCACAAATCCAGTTACAGCTCATAAAGTAGCCTTAGATGTATTTATAAAAAACACCAGTAGTACAAAAGTTGTTCAACTGGAAAAGTAAAATTACTAATGTCCCTTTAATTGTCATCTGTTCCTTAACCTCTAGTTCTCTAACACCATTGTAAACTCATCATTGGCCATGAAACAGTGAAGTGAGGCGCAGTTCAGGAGGGCTGGTGGGGCTGTCTGTGCATCTTTGACTGCCACCTGACTACTGATAAACAGGATTTATGGTGAAGGACATGGCTTTTCCAACCACAGTTTCTATCCCTTTCTTCTACTCAGCCAGTATTTTTTTGTAAGACTTGTATAAAAGCAATAATCTTTGCAACACCTTTCTCTTTCAAATTTGATTGAAATTAGCCAGGATTCTAAGAAATCATTTGGGAAATTGATAGAGAGGCTGGAAGAAAGACAATCTCATAATATAACCTTGTTTACTTTAGGAGATTATGACAAAACCCAAAGACATGTCTCCTGCAGGAACAGTGGTACTCCAAGTAATGTTTGATGAATATTACATGACTAACCAAGATTAATCAGATCTAATAGAGACAGATCTTTACCAACTGAGTATTTAGTCTGGATTCCATAAGGAGCAGAAACACTGCTTCTTTCAGTTGTAAATTAAGTCAAATACCTATAACTAAGAGTTTATAAGATTAGGCAAATGCCATAGGAAATTGAATCAAATATTAGAAGTCTCTTTTTGAAAAGTTTTCTCTGATCTTGGACTCCATGCAATTGTGAAATTGGTGGCTTACCTGTACCCTTTCATAATCATTATCCAGCTCATGGTTAAACATATAAGGGATGACAGGACACCAACGATGATCCATACAACCATATCTTTTACTCTGAAGTCTAAGAAAAAACAGAATTATTTAAGGACATGCACCTAGCATATATATAGTCAGCATGCCATAAAAACTCACAAATTACTTTTATTTTAAAAATTGGCCTAAACTGCCAAATTTATTATCAAATAGAGGCCTTCAGAAGCACAGACGGATCTCAATAATCCCTGTAATATCAAATAATGAATATCATTTTTACTAATGGTACTGCAGGAAAGAAACTCTCTTGGAAAAATCATACAGAAATGCATGAAGAGGAAAATTTTGTCACAGCCAATTATACAGATTGGGTTCAAATCCAGTCATATCAAAACTATAGCCATTTCATTATTAAATACATATCATACAATTAATTAAATGCTGGGTAAAGTGACCTAGGATTACATATTTTTAAGGATTTTTATTGTAATGTAACACTTTTTATACTGAGGTGATTATTTCATATTAATTCCAGATAAAGAATAATGAAGAGCTGTTACTGTCTGAAGGCAGTCGCTCTCTGTTGCCTGTATCACAGTTTTATGTAGTTTCCTGAGTTCTTTTAATTAAAAACTACCATAAAGAGAACAAATTAGTCAGTAGACAGAAAGGAAATTATTTAAATAATCAAAGAAATTATTCACTTTCTTAGCTCTATCAAAAAGTAAAGAAGGGAAAAGATAAGTGGGTATGGTGCAACGATGAGAAGGATTTGGTTCCCTTAGAAATTATGTCCTTGTCTGTCCCAGGGAAAGTAAGGGAACTGAATGAGTGCCACAAACAGCTAACAAAAAAATATAACATGAACTTGCATGTAATAACAATTACTGAAGGGATGTCTGGCCACTCACCAGTAGGGATCTCAATATACATTTCTGGGCTCCACTCACTCCAAAGTCCATGGTGATCTGGTTTGCAGTGAATCTGTACAATGTACCTCTTTCCAGGATTTAAACTAAACATTTTATATTGTGTTTGTTGTCCAACAAAAATAGTCTAGAAATAAAATAAAAGTCACAGCTAAGGTTTTGGTAATCAAGACGAGAACATAAAATGAGTCTGGATATCTTTTCTTAATAACTGTTGAGCAGGCATGGAATAATAGTAAATTTTTTTATTTCAATAGTTTAAATTCTTCTTTCTAGCAGGTGAGAATGAGATCTGGCTCTGGTATACAGTGCAAATTAAACTGCTGCAAAAACACATCATCAATTTATGGCAAATAGGGGAGGAGCTGTGGTAATGGTAGGAACTGCGACAGTGACGGGAAGAGGAGCTGGCAAGAAATAGAGATGGAGAAAGAAAATGCATAGAGGAAGATGGAATGTGAAGTGGTGGAAATGCACAGGGTAATAAAAAGTAGGTCTGGCCATAGGGCCAGAAGAAAGTGCAGTGGAAAGGGGAAGGAGGAGATACAGAGGTGGTTTGGAAGTTCTGCAGACAAGAAGGGGATGGAGTCAAATACCAATAGCTGGAATCTTTAATTTGCCACTCAGTTGTTTAAGTTGTAGATCCTGGCCATATAAAATCATTATTATTATTGTGTTCCCACTGCAATTACCACCTAGTGATTGTTTATATAAATTTAAATTATTTTATGTAAAGTCACTGATCTTTCTGTTATCTAAGAAGTGCTTGTGGTTAAGAATAAATTATCACAAAAGACAGCTGACTAAAAGAGAATGAACAATTTAAACTAAAATGCCAGTATGATTAATAAATAATGGCCACAATTAAAACCAGGTACTTTATCACCTGCTATCGTACAGCAGCAACTGAGATACCAGTGTTCTCAGCAGGAAGTCATAGGTTACACACTTTTGAAATATTATTTATAACTATTTAGAGTATTTAGAGTGTCTGCTTCATTACGTTCAGGCATGAGACTTGGCTGACAAAATCTAGCTGGTTAGGAAAAAATTATCTAGCAAAAACTTGTCACATTCTTACCTCCCATTCCTCTCCCTCTTCAGGCTTTAGTCGCAATTCATATTCAAGGGTAAGCCATCCAGATCTGACATCAGCTAGTGGGGGTGGAGACCATGTCAGGACCAGATACGGTTTTCTCTTTATTGACTTTTTTAATTCCAGAGTTATATTCACAGGAGGATCTGGCTGAACTGTTGAAATAAAATAACCGTCAATAAGAGTTTAAGTGACTTTTTTCCTTGCATCTTAGGAAGAAATACAACATTATGGGAGTGAAGAGTTGCCATCTCCATTGTGTCTGACAATTTAGAACTGCTACTGTATAGAAACCAAGAGTTTTCAGGTAAAGTAAGTATGGATTTATGAATTTTAAAACTCCTCTGAATAGTAGTATGTTGGATTCACATTGAGATTTGCCTTAATCATTTATCATCAAAAATATTTTTTCTTACATTACCATTTATTGTTACTTTCCTCCACAACTATATTTCAAAGTTAACACCTTTAAAATTATGTTATGGAAGTTGTGTTCTACTATAATCTTATCAAAGCTTGGCATAAATATTTAGGAACACTGAAAACATGGATGCAGCTAATGAAACTTGTCCCCTTCATCTTTCACATTTAAAAAACTCAACTGTGTGGTCCCTACACTCATATGTAAGGATACTTAAAAATAAACCAAAAACCCATATTGAAGCTCTGTCTGTATACCAAAAATAAACCAAAATGGAACATAGGTTTCTTTTACAGTCAGGCTTGCATCTTCCTCAGTTCAAAGGTAAAGCCTCTGCATCTTGTGCATGTATTTTACCACTGTCTGATCAAAGATTCATCAGGTCGTTGGATTGAGGTAAAATATAAAGCCATTTCTCCAAGAACCCTTTTCCAGTTGCCAGACTCTTGGCAGCCAGATCCTTGGCAACAAAATGGTTATCAAGGATAATGCTCCGTTCTCTTAGATAAAACCCTAATTACTTGTCCACAGTCACTCTGTAGAAAAGTCTGAGAAAGAGATTATCAGTATACTGCCATAAAAAGCACTAATGCAGCTTCTCTTGGGTCTGAAAACTACTTTTAGGTAATCAGATTTAAGTATTATTAGTTAAAAGATCAAATAGATTTCAGTTGCTTGTACAGTGGAAAAAGATTTTAGCTGGATGATGTTTCTTAGGGTTTGACTACAAGAAATACGGAAAACCAATAAATGTTTCTCTGAACATAGTTTTAAACCTTTTAGCATTTTCATCTTCTGAAAATAAGATGGTAAAGGGATGAATATTGATTTGTTATTACACTAAGGAATATCTTATTTGCCCAAATTTATAACTTGGATATAATACTATATATGAGGAGAGCTGAAATTAAAATTCTTGTGTCAACCCATGATTCTGAATTATTTGGTTGCATAGAAACTACTTTTTAACTCTTACCTATGTAAGTCACATCCACATAATGAGGATCAGAGACATTACTTCCCATTTCATTAGTTGCCCTCACAGTAATATTGTATATGGTCCAGAAAGAGGTGTGCTTTTTATCGAAGTAGCACGAATTGGGGCCTGCAGTTTTGTAATCTGGACATTCATGAACTTTTTCTTCTCTGAAATGAAAGAATCCCAGTGATTAGGTTACACAGACTAAAACACCTGATTGGTTTACTAGTACTTCAGCTTTATTTGGGGCTGGATCTGATTTTTCACACCTGGCAATGTGAAGAAAATCAGAAAACTGGTACAAGACTAAAGAGTCATTGGACAATCCCAGAGACTGTACTAAGCATTTTCCCCATGAAGTAAACACCACAGAGCCCGAAGAATTTAGGCTGTTGCAGATACAGCTGTGGGCTAGTAGAGCTCAGCTCTTATTTCTCTGAAAGCCACTGTTCACTGCACAGCCCAGAGCCCTTACATGTTCCAGAGGCTGAGTACAACTGATTGCTGAAGTCTTCTAACCCATCTATTAAAATTTTAGTATTTTCAGTGTTCATTCCACACTCACAGGACTTCTGTGTGTTACACTAATATGCTTTCAGAATTTATTTGGTCTTGATCATCAAAAAAAAAAAAATCTACTTTGTACCTCTCCTTCACATCCATACCCAAGCTTTCCAAAGTCAGAGAAGGGGTAGGAGAGAAAATTGAGTATGTAGTATTTGTTTTCATGCTCTTCTTAGGTGCACAATAACAAAAGATGGATGTGAACCTCTTACTCTGCCATACCTGGCTGGACCAGCATCTGTGTTTTTACACTACAACTGGGCTCTCAGCTGACAGTTTGTCATGGGGTAGCTTTACCTTTAAGACAGCTTAGAAAGAGGGGAAGTTGAAGCTGCTGGTGGCTGATGGGAGTTTTTCCTCCTGACCAATTATCAGTCATTTCCAAGAATTGACAGCAGATCTGACCATTAAAAAGTGAATTCAACTTGTCAACACCCCCTTAAGAAGTACAGACAGAATTCTCTTATTCTCTTTGGTTTCCGGCTTCTGAAGAGGTGACAAGGCTCTGTCTTGGCCTCCTCCCCCCTCTCCAGGCCGACAAGGCCGCGGAGTGGAGGGGGAAGAGAAGCAGCGCTGGTCAGCCGAGCTTGGTTTTCAGTTTTTGCTGCTAGACTGAAACTTAACACCATGAACTCTTGCAGTTTTCCTAAAGCTTTTAATTCTTTTACTACCTGGATAAACATACAGATTACTCCTTTTCTCAGAAAGACAGAGAAAGAGAGAGACAATCAACGTAGAGAAGACATCATAGAACCACCAAAAACAGTGAAGAAAAGAGTTAAGTTTAAATAAGAAAGAGAGAATAAGGAGATGCTTTACAGCTGAAATATCTTTCTGTTAAAGCTATGGAGATGGACAATAATAGTATAAAAAGACTCCTTTAATTCATGATAAGAGTATTGGGAGGAATAAAGTATTCAAAGTGTAACTTTTGAGCAAAAGAGAGAGAGTACTTGTGATACTGTGAGTTGCTGGAATTGAGTAGAGTGAAGATTTTGAAGCTTTGGGGGGCAAAGAGAAAACTGTTCCAGGAAGGCTCACAGAGACAGATGAAGAAGACTTCTGCCTTTGAATAACTTATCCTTAAAAATAAAATCCCTAAGCTCAGTGACCCATACACACCTTGGAGAGATGTGAGATGGGAGGAGAAGATCTAATGACAGATTTCCGGGCAGTTGGCATTAGAGAGATAGAAAACTACAACAAAAAATAGTTTTCTCGTGAGAAACTCCGTAAGCTAACAGAAGGAGACTTCTGTTTCTCTACAAAGACTGATGAAAAGACTGTAACAAGAATTAAGACTGTTTTTAACCACCAAAGTTCTAAAGTTATTTGTCTGTATGTTGTCATGTGTACGGAGAAATAGTTAAGATGTGGAAGATAAGGGGGTTTTCTGAAAGTTTATTCTGGTGTTCTTATTCTTGTAGTTTGTTAATAAACTGTCTTTATTCCTTTTAAGTTTTAAGCCTGTTTTGCTCTTGTTCTAATCCATATCTCACAACCAGAAATAAGTAATTTTTTTAGTTACTGGTTTAAAACCATGACACAGTTACAGAGTTTGAAATCTATTTTGGTCATTGCAAGGTTGAACAGTACTAGGTGAACTAAAAAGGACCAAAAAGGTTCACAAGACCTAAAAAACTTTATTGACACTTTCTTTAAAATTAGTGTTTAGCACTTTATCTGAGTTCCAAGGAAAGATTACTACAGAAACCAGGAGGCATTCATAGCCTATGAGTGCAAAACAAGCCTTATCAAAAGATGAAAGTTTTAGTATCTGGTCATTTTGGAAAGTTTTATTTCTGAGACTGCATGGCTGAAGACTTTTAGGACTGTGCAGTTGTATTGTTTACTAGTATGCTGTTGATGAGCAATGAAAAGACAGAATTCACAGTAATTCACCTGCCATTATAAAGAAATCAAGATTTAATATGTCTTAGTGTTGCTGCTTTAGTGTGATGCCAGAACATGGCACTGGACAAAACCATGGACTATAGAAAATGGCATGTCCTGAAAAAAGAAACGAATGAGGATTGATTTTCCAGGTCCTTCCAACAAAACGCTGAATAACTACACAGCACTATTACCCCTCTTTGCTGTAAAGCAACGTGTGGTTGGTCGAGAGTCCTCCATCTGAAGCAGGTTTCCACCAGCAAGTAAATGTTTCTTTTTCAGGAGAACGGCACTTTATTATTGTAGGCTTTTCGGGAGGTAACCGTTCTGTAAGAAATAAAGAAATTAACTAATTAGCAAGTTTAATCCATTAGGTCCACCTTGAATTCGTAAAACAATGTCAAGCAGAGAACAGGTAAATATGAAAAAATAAAAAGTTTTGCTTCGTAGTAGCCCAGGAAAGGAGGGACTATTCCCTGCTTAGGGCAACAACTTGCTATTCTCACCTGGATTCTGAATTCCCTCTCACTGCAGCTGCATTGAAGAACAGTTTTAGATTTCTGCTTGTGGCTTTCTTCTGCCCCAAAATCACATAAGTAATGTTGAAATACTGTCATAGCAGGGTCTATAAAATTATTTTAAATACACTATACTATCCAATCTATTTTCAATAGTGTTCTGGTTTCAGTTGGGATAATTTCTTCTCAGTAGCTGGTATAGTCCTGTGGTTTGGATATAGTATGAGAATAAATTTCATAATACAGGGATATTTTGTTGCTAAGACATGTTTATCCTAAACCAAGTACCTTTTTGTGTCTCCTGCTCTGTCAGTCAAGAGGTACAAAACAGAAGAAAAAGTCTGGGAGTGAGTATAGCCAGGACAGGTGACCACACCAAAGGGACACCACTCCATAGAACATCATCTCCAGAATACAAAGTTGGGAGTTACTCAGAACCAGTGCCCTTCAGGAGGATTCAGAAATGGGGTCTAGCATTGATCAGTAGTACGTGAGCAAATACATTGTCCCTAAATTTTTGTTGGTTTTTTTTCCCCTTTTTTATAATCATAATCTACAATTATTATTGTTATTACATTTTACTTTGTTTCAATTATTGCATTGTTCTTATCCCAACCCACATATTTTACCTTTGATTCTTCCCCTCATCCCACCATGGTGACATATGAGTGAGCTGCTGTGTGATGGCTTGTTGCCAGCTGGGCTTAAACCACTACATACAAAAACATTTTTTTTCCCCCCCAGAAGGTGTGTTTTAAGATGATTTCTGTTTGAAAGGGATGCTGTCATTTTCTTTTGCTTTTAGGTAAAATAAAATGAAGAATGTAAATGTTTGTCTATTTGTTTGTGTTCTTGCCAGTAATTTTCTTCTGAAGTACTCAAAATACACAAAGAAGCAGCTCTCATATTTCACTGTAATGTTGTTATGTTCAGTACTCAGCCTACTTGCATGATTGCTCCTGGGCAAGTTTTTATAGTTTCAAGAAGAGCACTTAAGAGTTGGCCAGAGAAAAATGTTTAAATTTTGAATAGGATGATGCCCGTCAAAACCCTGAAGTGATTGAAACTTTTGCAGTTATACATTTAGGGCAAAAATATGGTCCTATTACATCAATAATATATATTTTCTACTATGTACAGAAGAGGCATTGATTTTCCTAATTTTTAATTGCCTGAGGCAGACCTGAAAATGGGACATTTAAAAAATATTTTTCTTTTAACAGTACTTCAACAATCTCCATGTCAAATAATGAATAATACAACTAAAAACTGAAAAAGTTTTGAGACAACTTGGCTAAAGTGTCTGGCAACAAAATATGGTGTCATACGTATTTAGTGTGTCTACTCAAATCCAGTAAAACACAGATGGTGACTTCCATGTGATAGTATCTGTAAGTGGCATGCTCTGTTAGACACAGCAGGGCTTTTAGTCGAGGCTCTTATACCTGATATTTATAGCTACAGATTAAATCAACATGATTTTTCAATAACAAGACAGGGACAATAAATTATTTAGACACACCTGCATCAGAAGTGACTTCCTAGTAAATCCCTTACCTTGTTTGTCATAGCCAGCTTCAGCAGAGGATCCTGACTGGATCAACAAGATTAACAAAGCAATTACAACAGAAAGTATGGTCAAAAGCACTGAGCACTAGAAATATCTGTGCGAGAGGCCAGGCTTTCAGGAGTGGCATTTAGGCACCTTCACAGCATTGAACCTGCTACAATTTAAAAGCAATTTACAGAGCAGCAATCATTGCTCACCTTTAGGGATCTGAATGCTTCTTTCTGAGCTCCACTCGCTCCATTCTCCAAGGTCTAACATGCAACGCACCTGGACGATGTACTTCACCCCAGCTTGCAGGCTGGTCACCTCGTAGTGCGTCTGCATTCCTACAGATACTGTCTGAAAATGAAAATAGACAGGGAAAATAATAAAGAATTGGACCACTTTAACAAATAAACCATAAAGGAATAGGCATTGAGTTACTGACTTCTGAAAGTCAGGGATATAAGTTGGGTATTTGTAAGATATTAAAAGCAAAAGCAGTGATTTAGCAGAAAAAAATCACTGCTGATTCTGATACTCAAAAACATGTTGAACTATAAAGTTCCTAGTACTCCATTGGATCCACAATGCAAGGAGCATTACAAGTAGTCTAACCCACATATAAACCCCCCACTGAAATTCTTCTCAGTGTCTTTAAGTGACTTTCTCAGACCCTTCTAATTTCTCCCCAGAACTATTTCAAAATTCATAGCATTCTTCACCATTAAGATATCAACAAGCTAGATAGCATTGAGGACTATAACTTTAAGAAGTACTTGACTATGACTTTAACAATGACATTTTGTCCTGAAAACTCAGCTGTAGCAGTACTGAAGTTGATTCGTAGAAATACGGCAACGGGTGGGAAATCTCAATGGAAATGGTTAAATGTGAACAGGCCACAACAAAATTTTTGAGGGGCGGGTTGTCTCCAGCTGATCATGTTGAAGAGAATGATGATAACTGGGTTTTGTCGTACTGTTTTGTCGTACATAACATTAAGATGATTATGGAAATTATGTTGAATTTCACAGTCTCTATAGACCACTCCAGTATTTTAGTTTCTTTAATCAGATTTGGTTACATTAATTTTTCTATTTTTGCACAAACTAATGTTTTTATAAGACCAATTAAAGTGAGATAAGAGAATTAACTGAAAAGAGCATTTGTAAAATAAATATGTTTTTCCCTTACCTCCCACTCTTCCTTTTCCTCAGGCTTTAGTCGAAGCTCATAGTGATATACATGTGAATTAAAGCTGGCATCAGCTAATGGGGGTGGAGACCATCTTGCCCAAATGTATGACATGTTGGCAGATGTGTTTGTTTCTAGAGAGAGATTCACTGGAGCATCTGGCTGAACTGTATAAATGAATGAAAAGTGCACCATTTAATTTTCTCTCAGAAAAGACACCTTCTTTATGCTTTTTTATGTCATCCTATAAATTTCAGATAATTCAGTGTTTTAAAGAATATTAAAGAAGCTTTTTATTTTTCTCCTTAATGTGTTTAAATACCTGATTTCCAACAGTATCAGCAAATCTTAAAGTTTACTCTGAATTTGTCAGGCTAAGGAAATACAGATCATAATTTTGTAAGGCCACTCTTGCAAAATAAAAATGTCAGCTATTTCACAGCTAGAAAACTAAGTATATTATAATTAAAATGGTGTATTATGTGTGTGCAGAAAGTAGAATGGAGTCAGTAATTTAAAATACTACAAAAAGCCTGTATAATGCTCAGGCAGTTCTTTTTACCCTTCCAAGATGGCAATGCCAGCAGTTAGAAAGATTGTTACATTTGAAATATTAGGTAGCTTAACCTAATTTGAAAATTTTATAATCTACATTGAGTCTAATTAAAATATTGCAGACAACTAGAAACTGAAACAGTTTTTTCAGCTGAAGTTAAATTTTTTGTATATTCATACATGAAATTCCTACAATCAAGAATGTAGTTACTTAATGAATAATTAAATTTCAATTTTCACATATATTTAACATGCATACTTCAGATTATCTGTAAATAAACACTTCTCAACAGCAAGTTTCACATCATGAGGAAGAAATCTCTCTCCACTAGCTGTTCTATAATTAAAAACTGTATGCATCTCCAACTAGTTTGTTTTCCATTTCATGCTTTGATTTTACCTATGGAAGTTACATCCACATGCTGAGGATCTGAGCTGTTACTTCCAATCTCATTTGTTGCCGTTACAGTGATAATATAGGTTGTCCAGGGATTGGTGTGGTTTTTATTGAAGTAGCAGGAATTTGGACCTGATGTTAGGTAGTCTGGACATTCATAGATTTTTTCTTCACTGAAACAAAATGATTAAAAAATTTAGGAAATTAAGCAAAGCAGATAATATTCTAGTAATGGTTCAGCAGAGAAATCTGAAATGTTTGTATATATAGATAGATAGATAGATGAAAAATATATATAAAATCACATATATAATTTATATAGATATATAAAAAAGAAATAATTTTGAATAAATTATTTATAAATATAAAAATAAATATATAATTATCTATATAATTATATATTTTATATATTTTATAATACATATATATAATTTATAATTTTATATTGTATATATCTATTACTCCATCTCTTGGGAACATTTTTATACACATCAAATGCCATTACCATAAATGCTTCAATGATATTTTTACTGCAGTTGATGAATGCTTTCACCCTCTTCTTAATAGATAGGAATAAATCAACAAAAGAAAAGAAACAGAAATTTCCAGAGACAGAATAAAGAAATTTTAACAGTATTTCTAAGCAAGTAAGAGGGAAATAAAAAATATTTATTTCAATTTGATAAGTTTCTAAATATCTTTGCATATTACCCCTAGAAATTAAACTTATGGGCCCTATGGTAGAAAAGTCTTTTATTGATCAGTATGTTTTCAGCAAGGTCAGAGAATCATTTAGGTTGGAAAAGAGCTCTAAGACTGTCAGGTCAAGCTTTGACCACTGTCAACCAGACCATAGCATCAAGTGCCATGTCCAGATATTTCTTGAACACCTCCAGGAACAGTGACTCCATCACCTCCCTGGGAAGCCATTCCAATGCTTACCCATCCTTTCAGCGAAGGAATTCTTCCTGAGGTCCAACCTGTACCTCCTCTAGTGCAGTTTGAGGCTGTTTCCTTTTGTCCTATCACTATGCCCTGAGAGAAGAGACTGACCCACACATGAGTACACCCTCCTTTCAGGAAATTGTAGAGTGATAAGATGGCCCCTGAGCCTCCTTTTCTCCAGGACAAACACCCCCAGCTCCCTCAGCTGCTCCTCACAGGGCTTGTGCTCCAGACCCTGCCCCAGCTCAGCTGTCCTTCTCCGGTCATGCCCCAGCACCTCTGTGTCTTTCTCGCAGTGAGGGGCCCAGAACTGAGCACGGGATTTGTGTGTGGCCCTCACCAGTGCTGACTACAGGGGGAAATCACTGTCTGGTCCTGCTGGCAACATTTTTGCTCACACAGCCTGGGAGCCATTGGCCTTCTTGGCCACCTGGGTACACACTGGCTCATGTTCAGCCCTAGATCCTTCTCTGCCGAGCAACATTCCAGCCACTCTGCCCCAGCCTGGAGCTGCAAGAGGTTGTTGTGACCAAGGACTGGGTCTGGCACTTGGCTTGGTTGCACCTCACACCAAGGGCCTCAGCTCATCAATCAATGCAGATCCCTCTGGCCTCCAGCAGATCAGCACTAGGCATCATCTGTAAATTGACTGAAGGTCCTCCCAATCCTCTCAACCATATCATCAATAAAGACATTAAACAGGACTGTTTAATAAAAGTGACCCCCAACACTGATCTCTTAAGGACACCACTAGTGACTGGCTGCAGCTGGATGTATCTGCATTCACCACCACTCCGTAGGCCCAGCCGTCAGCTAGTTCTTAACACAGCAAAGAGTGCTCCTGTCCAAGCTGTGGGCTGCCAGCTTTTCCAAGAGAATGTTGCGGGAGATATTATCAAAAAACTTCGCTGAAGTTCAGGCAGACTGCATCCACAGCCTCTCCTGACTGGGTAACCTATTTGTAAAAGGACATCAAGCAGGACCTGCCTTTCCTAAATCTATGGTAGCCAGGCCTGATCCCTTGGTTGTCCCATATGTGCTGTGTGGTTGCACTCAAGGCAAAATTACTTCACAGTCAATTAATTATTTCCTTTATATGGGTCTTTGTCTTCTTCAGGAGAGGGATTGTTTTGTGCTCAAAGCTGGCTGGGGTGATGTACTCACAGCCTACCCCAGGTGTGAAAAACTACACAAACCCAAAGCATTAGCTGATGTGGTGCATGAATTAACTTCAATTCCACTATTACGCTCTATGTATCATCAATAATACATTCTTAGTTTCCAGGCATTTTTGTCACAGTTTATAAAGAAACGATGGGAGACAAGGGACTGTACCTAAGAGAAAATGAGCCTAAAAAGGCAATTGTGGCCAATGTTTAAAGTGCTTGGCAGAGCCTGGGTGCAGCAGATTTAATGAAATGGATAGGCACTCCTATCAGTGATTTGGAATATTTAATTGTAGCAGGGATGTCTGAGGCTTTATCTTACCTATTCTGAATCTCACTGGATTTATTAAAAAAATTTAGTTTCTGAGCTTCCCTGCTTACTTGTCCCTGTTCAAAGACTGTTTGTTTTCAGGAAGAAAGTACAGTTAAACAAAGATGGACAGGTTAAGTAAAGCTGCATATACATGCTTTATTCCTGAACATTAGGCAGTTGAGAATTTACCAGAATATTAACTTTTGTGATGTGGTACCCATTTCACTGCATTTTGGGAACCATTGATCAAAAAAACAATAGGGAAAAAAATTACTATAGTCCAGATGGGGGTTTTGGTGTGCAGGGTGATGTACAAGGGCCTCACCAGCCCTCACTGCCCCTGCCCAGCCCCCCATGCACTACCTAGGTCCCAGGCTCCCAGTTCAGCAGGGCTCCTGCTCCACACAGCCCTGCCTTTCCCAGACACAGCCCCTGAGTCGATGTCCTGGCCCAGCCTGGCCTCAGCCTGCCCCTGTCCCCAAGGAGGAGACCAATGCCCAGGACTGGGCTCCCCTCCTCCTGCCCTGCTCCATGGCTGGGGCGATGGGAGACTGGATGCCCTGTGGTACCCTCATGCTCCAGTGCTCAGAGGAGATCCCGTTCAGCTGAAAGCTCTGTGCTTCCTGAAAAGATGGGCAAATATGTCTTTGCTCCCAGCATATCTTCAGACAAGGGCGATTTTTGGTAGATGAGTTTCAGGAGGGACAGGCTGAAGACTTGTGGCTGTCAGTGGTCATGTTTTCTTCCAACAAGGGAAGCAACAAATCTTATGCAGCCCTTGTTGTCCCTCTGATGTTCAAATGGATTAATAAAAACAACTTCACAAATTAATATTGTCATTCTCTCAGTCTGTCATAACCATCACTTACAGAGTACGTATGCACCACTCGTTACCTGTCCTTGCTGTAGAACAGGGTGTAGTTGTTTGGAAGTCCTCCATCTGAGCCAGGCTTCCACCAACACGAAAAGGTTTCCTTTTCTAGAGAACGACATCTTATTATCTGAGGTTTTCCAGGATACGACTGACCTAGGGAAGTGCAAAGACCCAACTAGTTAAATTAGAAGTGGGCAATGCTTTTGGATGCTATTGTTGAATGATAAGTCAACCAAGCAATATTTTTCTGAAGACATTAAAACTACATGGAACTGAGGACTGAATTGGGCAAATAAATCTGCCTGGGAAAAGGATCAATATTCTCAGAAAAGTAAACACATTTTACCTCAAACTTATAAAATAGCTAGTAGAATGTTTTTGCTTTTTAACATAAACATTTATTATATTATTATTTATTTACCTAAACTCGAAATGGTATATTTATCTCCAAATTAAATCTCTTCATTATCACATTATGAAGATGTGAAATATGATCTCTACGGTTCATCTTCATAAATGTTAACATTTTTTATCTTCAGATCATTTTAAGATTAAATTCCATCTTCAACTTTGCAACAGAACTAAAAATCCATTCGTTGTGCATATTTGGGGTAAATTACAGGACAGTTAGGAAAAGAAGGAAATTAATGGGCTAGATGGAATTTTTTGGGTACTGGTAACCTGAATGTACTCATTAATCATTCAAATATTCCCTGTTAAGCCAAATACATTTAAGAATATTTCTTGTTAAGCCTAGTTCTCATTAACTTATACCAAGAACACAGATCATACATTTACATTCATTTTTAGACAACAAATGTGTGACCTTTTAACCTAAGCTAATCATTATTTCATAAAGTCCCATATATATTCCTAAAATATCTCAAATGGTGCAACTATTCATATGCTAACTCCCAAGAAGGTGACAGGAATGAAGTGAATATAGGAGTGGAGTAAGTGCCTTTCAGTATTGCCATCAAACAGTCCTTAAAGTAATACTATAAAAAGAAAAGACAGCTCCAGCCATTTTCAAAATTGCCATACCAAACTTCAGAAGAAAGTAATTTAAATAGGTACATGCTCCAATGGTGGTTGAGATCGATTGGGTAAAGCCTCAGATTTTTCTGAAGGAAGTGTCTTAAGGAAAAAAGAAGTGTTTCAGGAATTGTTGTACCTACCAGTCAGACCTACTGTAGTCAGAGCAAGCTGCAAAATGATTTGAACTGATGAAATGAATCTCTGTTTCATGATGCCTGTCTTTCCTCGGGAGGAAGTATCAGATCAAGGGCTCACTGAAAAAGACGCCATCATGCAGCAGTCAGTAACAATGCTCAGTGTGCAATACGTATCGCTTGACTTGATCAAAGTCCTTTTTGAATTGCAGCTAATTGATTCTTGTTCTCTCTCAAAAAGGTGAGGCAACACCAACAGTTACACTTGGAAAGCTGAAAACCTGAATCTCAGAGAAATAGGTAGGTCTTCCCAGAAGTCTTTGGTTAGCAGTGATAGGACTACAATTTCTAAGCATTAACAAATCTTGCATATTTCTTTGGCATCTTGGGATACTGGGTTCTTATCTTAGAGTTCTAACTTCTAGATTAATCAATTAACCTAAGAAAGCAGTCTTTTAGCAACAAAAATATACTTTTATCCCTACTGATGCAAAGAAGAGGTCAACATACTTGAAATCTGAAAGTCCTGAAAACAGAAGGCGAATAGAAGAGGTACAACATTTATTTAGAAGTGTATGATTTTTGATCCAATCTCAAAACTTTTCAATATTTGAGACTGTCAATATTGAATTCAGGATCATTTGAGCTGAAGAATGCTACTTTTTCAGTGCATTCAACCAATTGTTTTTACTGCATTTGATTTTGTAGTAAATTTCAGCTGAAATACAGATATGCAATCAGTCACCAGCTGGGACCAGGACCCAGTCTCTGCAGTGGGCTGACACCACTAGATGTCCTCAGAATTCAGGTTACAATTCTGGGTGCTCTGGAGTCCCTGTTGCGGCTAAATCTGTTTGCTTAGCCTGGAGAAAAGACATTAGGACTTAAAGCAAACCTCCTGCTTCTCCCACCAGTACACTCCCTGCTCGGAGATGACTGCAGTCAGCTATTGGATTCTCACCAACCAACCTCACTCTTCGAAACTAAAGAAGAACAATTTATCTAGATAGGGAGCTCCTTATGCCAGCTTTCCACTCCTACCCCTAGCACATTCACAGGTACTTGTATGCTTGCAACCAATTCTGCGTAGCACAGCATGGGAACAAGCTGTGTTATTGGTGAGGAAAAATCCATCGTGGTTTATCAGATGACTCAATTCTCAGTATGCAATTCATTTTCTACATCAAAAAACTAGAATACATCATCATGCAACTGTTTTTCAAGCGCAAAGCCAAGTGAAGTGTCAGTTAACGCAGCTAAGTCTAAAACATGTTCACTGTGGACAATGTGGAAGATAACAACAGCTGGCTACATTTCCCATATGCCACTTCTGAATATCCAGACATGTTTCAGGCATGTAACTGAGCTACAGGCTGGAAAATTTCATCTGGGCTAGTTTTAAACTCAGTCAGAGCATTTTGTGCATATACAAACAGTGAAGAGAGAACCACTTAAATATAAATTGCAGTGTGGTGTAAACACATGCAGTCTTTATTACTATAAATAAATGACAGGCACAAACATTAGTCTTTTACTTCAGAAATTAGCCAAAAACTTGGGGCTGTATAATGCAGAACACAGATGATTGTGCTCATAATAGATACCTTTTTCTCAGGTGAAGGTGAAATAATGAAACTACAAACAGTAACTGTTTCATGTACATGTGATAGTATTTACAATATTTTATTACTTCTAAAAATAGTTGGAACATTTGCAAAACTCTGAACCTTCAAGCTAAGACTCATACGGATAAAGAACTAATACCTTTTGTTTTTTTTACTTTTATGTATGTATCTTTTTATGTGAAGAATTGGCAGAAAGAGAAAATTATTACATTGGCTCAAAGAATGAAACTTTTTAATACAACAAAAGAGAGGCATCATCAAGAAGGATCTTTATTAGAGTGCTCTCGAATGAAAATGCAATGATTTTTGTAAACTGAAGAACCAAATTAATAGAATGAGGAAGAAATTAATGCATTAATTAATAAACAGAAGTATTTTTCCTCTGGAGCTTTTGAAAATGAGATGATTGTGAACTATCTCTGTAATGTGGCTGTGCAAAAGAACAAGAGGGATATAGGGAAGGAATATGGACATATGAGTGCCATGGATTAAGCTCTGTCTACAGTTCTGGTAACCTACAATAGGGAAAAAAGAATCAAACATTTTAGAACACAGCTAGGAACATGACATGGAGACTGTCTCATGATGGTCATTTAAGAGTTGGCTTTGTACTCCATGCAATTGTAGTTGTCATCTGAAAACACAGGAGATAAGCATCAAAAGAGGGAAAATAAGAATGTGTAAAATAAGAATGTTGCTTAACACGGTTGCTTACTATTTGGTATTTGCAACTCAAATTTGGCTTAAAAGGCTTCTGGAGAGATGCCTTGTTTTTTTGAAAATACTTGCTTAATAAGAAAGTAATACTCATTGTGTCATAACTGTATCTAAAATGCATCTTCCCTATCTATGACATGAATATGTTTTGATAAAAGGGTAATTAGCATTATTAAGGATGGTATGAGGCAATGTCTCTCTTTTAGGAATGAATGCATTCTTTTATAAGGGATGTACTGGACATTGATTTGTCAAGATATTATCCAAAACCAAGGGTTGAGTAAATAATAATTAGAAGATGATATGCCTCCTTTTAAAAGTCTTGATTTAATTCCAACCAAATTATTGCATTCTGACATTCTATCTGATTTTCTCCCTTTTAACACAGCTGATAGATAGTATTCAACAGCTGGACATCACATGCCAGAATACAAGGCTCCTTGATGGAAATGGAAACTATTACTGGTGTTTTAGAATGCACAGAAGAGTTAGATATTCCTGTGAAACAATTCTGCCCTGGAATTAATAATATAATGAAACTGTAGGTTTGAAAACTGTGCTTACAGTGCTACTAGATGAAGATGAAAGCCAAACACCAATACTTAAATCAGATGCTGTGAAACAGAGTTGAGAGAATCATGTCTTTGTCCTAACTGACTTTTAGTTCTTGCATTCTTTTCTTTCTTTCTTTCTTGGCTCTGCTGATGGATAAATTTCTTGAGAATGACAGAGAAGTCTTTACTCAGTTCTGCACAGATGGAAAAATTTTCTATCTGCAATACTTTCAGGCTTGCAAGAACAGGAACAACTGTGTATCAGCCACTGACAATGACATTATGTCCAACACTAGTTCTGCTTCTGTGGCTAAAGAAGTCAAAAGCCAAAAGTACTTTACCAATCTCTACTGAAAAAGTTTCACATTTCCATTAGTCATGATGATAAACAATGTTAATCTTTCAGGCCTGGGGGAAGGCAGTTTAAGGAGCTCTCAAAACGAGTTAATTACCATTTGGAAGGCTGAACTGCAGCTGTATGAAACAAAATACAGAAAAAAAAGGAACTCAACAAAGCAAGATTGTGATGATCTGCAGGACCATCCAGAATATTTAGCTGTACTGTGAACATGGCAGGAGTCTGCACTCCCACACAGAGATCACAAATGCAGGATGCATGTTCCTAGCCATGGCTTGAGCATCATGGTCAGATGTGTTTCTGACTGACAGTGATGGTTGGGATTATACTGCAAATTAAAAGCTGTAGATGAGCAGTGTGACCTGAGCTCTGCTTTTCCTCTCTGTATGAGCCCTAATTGGCTGTCTGAATCCCTCAGGCTGCCTTCATGCTGATGTACAGCCTCCAGAGAAGATATGGAGCTCAGGCATGTCTATCATCTGAATTTCTTGTGACTGATTCTAGCTGGCAACTTTAGGCACACAGGTTCTGTGGCATACTTTGTGAGGAAGCCTAGGAAATCTTCTGCTGGCTATGAACCTAGATATTCAGTTAATTTGTTGGGCATAAGGATTTCATATTTCTGTGTTGCATGAAGTGGGAGCAGTAAAAGACTTTTAGATTTCACCTGAAAAGCCTATATATGGGCTTATAATATATTTTTCCAAAATTTCTCTCTTAAACAAGTCACCTCCTAACAGCCCTTGGCAGTCCTTCCCTTGATTAGCAGTCAAGATGTGATGATGAATGAAACAAATTTCCTCACCCACGGAGATATGTTCCTCAGTCTGAAAGACTTGAGTCAGTTTTGAAAAAGGAAAATCACAAACCCCCACATCCTTGAAAATAGTTTAGACCTTTACATCTCCATCATAGTATTTATGCTTTTCATTTCTATTGATTTTACAGAACTGAGCCTAAAATTTTCTTGGAACTCTCACTACCTAAACTGACAAAAAAAAAAGAAAAAAGCCAAGAGAAGAAGAAATTACCATTATCCCTACTTTACAGACGGGGAGCCAAGGTAAAGAATGCCCAACAGACTCATAGTAGAAGTGTAACAAAAGCTAAAACCTGATCATTTTCTACCATTTTTCTTTTCTTTTCTAAATACCAACTGTACTGCCTTTGTTTTCCCACAAAAACAAAGATAATGTTTTAGCTAACAGTAGTAATCTTTCTCTACCATCTCCTGAATATGCTGTTTTCTTCCCTGGTGTTTTGTATATTTAATCATAACTTCAGGATTTATTTTTACAGCAGTCTCTTACAGAACAAAAATAAAAAATCATAAGCTCTAAAGAATTAAATTTTAGGGACTGAAGGCTAGAATTTACATTAGAACTTGAAATATTATGTACATTCTCTACCAACTACCAAGCCCAACTCCACAATCACTATCTTCTTATAGCAATTTTAAGTATTTTTAATATATAGCATAGTCATAAAGTATAAAATTTAATTTTCTACCTAGGAGATTCATGTATGTGAGGAAGCTCTGTATTCTTCTCTTTCATGAGTGTCAGACTAGTTGATATGTTGGAAAACAAAAATTCTAATAATAGTATATTACTGAAAGTATCACTATTTTATTCCAAAAACAGAAAGAGAAAAAAAGGTGACTCTTGGATTAGCTGTTGTAGATACTGACACTCTAAGTAAATACACTTAAACATTGAGTTAATTACATTGAGTGATAGAGACAGTGGTAAAATATGGTACATGATTTCCTTTATCTGTTTAAAACAAAATTTTGTAGCAATGAGTTTTGGATGCAGTGTAAATTTACTCATAGACTGGGCTAGGCTACTAGATTAAAGGCTAGCT